TCCCTGCCCTCTTTCCCCCCCATCCCCTCCCCGGGCACCCTTTTCCCCCTCCACTGCAGCCCCTCTTCATCCCCAGGACGAATTTGGCACTTGGCCTGGTCTATTCAACATGAAGATTCTTTTAAGAATCAGAGCACCCACTGGTATTATATACAATTTCACAAAGCCTGTTCCAGATTCCCAAAGCTATGCACGTTATTCACACACTAATATATAAGCAAATCTCCCCCCGCTTCCCTCTCCCCTGCAGTGGAAACAGCTCAAGTATACTGATAAGGCAATGATGGTCGTTGAGAAGTGCTGCAAGTACCTCATTTTCCCATACGAAACCAGAGAACTGTAAGACGTTGTGCTTAACAGTTTGTTGCTGCAACCAAAGCACCAGAGAACCAAATAAAAACCTGTCATTTGTCAGTTGAAGACGAGTATTCATCAAGGGAATACAAGCAGCACCATCTACAAAAGCAACACATGATTCATTAACCCCAAGGGCACAGGGAACACAACTCCATGGCCCCCTGTTAGAGGAAGAGAAATGAGCTATATGGGGCAGGACAGAGATGCAAATTGAATACCACCTACAGTAAAATAACATAATACATTTTCTCATGAATTTCTGCTATATTTAAAATGTCATCCACCCTCCAACCCATCCTGCATCAAGCTCTCCCTCTCTCTCTCTCTCTCTCTCTCTCTCTCTCTCTCTCTCTCTCTCTCTCTCTCTCTCTCGCACACGCATACGCACACACACCAGCTCACATGCACACACAAGTACTACTACAAATATCCACCCTTTCTCTCTACACCTTGCCTCTCTCCTAAGAGATGCATGTGCACGTGCATACACATAAATCCACATAAAAACACCTCTCTCACTTCTCTCCGCCTTGCAGGCGCTCACACACACACACACACAAACACAACATGACAACACACAAAACCAGTCCTGAAGTCAGATGCCCGTTTGGGAAGAGCCTGAAAAGGAAATTTCTGTATCGTTTCTCAGTCACTTAGTATCCAATTTTACCTTGGCATGGTTTCCATACCTTAGCACGACGCCTAAATAACAGAACGTGCAGCATGTGGAGGAGATCATCTGTCCGGCTTCGCTTTCCTATCTTGTAAGCCACTGAACTCAGAAGAAAAACACAAACAGAAGAGCAGAGACCAAAGTTTTAACTCCCTCCATTATGTAAGAACATCCATTCCCACTTTGAGATGGCTCAGCATCACCTGTGAAAATGTGTGTGAACCTTCTATCCCATCCCTCCCTCCCTACCCACTCTCATTCATGCACACACAAAAACACAAAGGGCAGGCTTCTTTCAATTACAATAAGCGACAGAGTGAAAATCACCCATTCCTGAAATTGGTGAGGGCTTTGACAAACCGAAGTGCCGACCAATCGTCCCCCCCTACCAAAATAAGAGAGAAAAAGACCTTAAACCATAGACGACATATCTGACCTGTGGCAGAGCCAAATGAAGGCCTGAAATTTCTTTTAACAGCCAGGGAAAGGAATTGGTGCGTTCAACAACACGCCACCAGCCCGCCGCCTTACGGACATAAGAGTCGGTTCCAGAATGCCTTACCCATATAAGGAATTGGTGTATTGAAGAAAACGGCAGGATGTTGTTCCCATTTATTTTGCGAAACAATAAACACAATGTTTTTCACATTTGGCAATTGGTGCTCATTTGTCATTATTCGCAGCTGTGCGGCCTGTGTTGCTGGGTTTATTTTGCAACTACATCCGCCTACTCCGACATCGCTAGCAAACGACAATGATGGGTGATCGGTGCTACCACCCAGGGCACCGGGGCTGCCCCCAGTGGTCCCCACCTACGCCAGGTCCTCGCAAAATTCCCCACTGCCCAGCACCATCCGGGTCGTCCAAGGGGCATCACTTAGGCAGGAGCTGAAAATGTGAACAATTGCAAATCAAACTTATGCCTGAGGGTCACTTAAAAATCCCGCATAAAACTGAAAACAAAGTATCAAATTGAAGGAGCAAACTCTAGCACAACCCTTCAAACCCCAACATCCCATGCCCCACAGAGATGTCACCAGAAATGCCCCACCATGATTTTAAAAACAAAAGAAAAGACCTCATTTCTTGGCTTACCCGGGTACGCGGGCCAGGTGCCAAGCACCCGGATCAGGGACCCCGGTAGCCCAGTGGGGGATGCATTTGTGGCGCTGGGAACTCGACGATCTTCTTCTACTCCTCAAACATCACGCAGGCGGACGAGAAGAGGCAGGTCGGCATTATTTGTCGGCATCCATGGTCCACAAACCCACTATTTCTTCTTTCTTGATACTTGAGGGTTCCATACTCGCAAATGTACCTTTTCCATCAAAATATCACGCACCAGCCTGGCATAACAAGCCACGCTGGGAATGGGTCGTCCCCACCTGTCGAAAGTATCATTGGGCCTTGCAAATATGGCACAGCCATCTGGCTGTAGGAGGTTGCATTTTGCGAGCACCTCTTTTTTTTGTCATTTAGTATTACAAGGAACCCCATAGCAGCCACAATGCTTGTACCCCCATAGCAGCCACATGCATGTTCAAGCCTCGAATGAGGGAACATGTAGGGGCTTCACCCGAGATTTGGGATTATTAAACCACCACTCTACTCGACGTTGGGAATTCGGGGGACCGGTAACATAGGCTCACAAGGACTTACAGGTAGCATAGTGTGGAGACCCGGCAGAGTGGCAAAAATGGAAAGTCCGACGAATTGCCACCACCACGTATTTCGTGGTTGAAACGATTTTTTTTTTAATAATATTTTTTCCCGGAAAGATTATGACCAAATCTGCGGACCCTCCAATTTTCAGAATTTTTACTGAATTCTTCAGAGCGTGAAAAATCGCTGAAATTGGGGTACGTTTCCCGTTGGCCCGCAAGTAGTAGAGTGGCAAAAACCGAGAATGAGAAAAAACGGCAGGGCATTTCTTGCACCGCCTAACAATTTTCTAAAAAAAACTAAAACATTTATGGTGGAAAGATCACGACCAAATCTACAAACCATCCAAATTGCAGAGTTTTCAAGGCATTCTTCTGAGGACAAAAAATCATGGAAGTTAGGGTACTTTTTCCATTGGCCCACACATTGTAGAGTGGCAAAAAATGGACGATGTCCCGAATTGGCTCGGCATTTATTTGATGTTCTAAAAGATCTTTTTTTTTTTTTTCGGATATTTCTCCCGGAAAGATCACGACCTAATCTACAGGATCTCAATGTTTCAGATTTTTTCTCAATTTTCTGGGTGCGAAAAATCACCCAAGTTGGCACTTGAAATTTGCAGGACTGGATCCGCCTGTGCCTGCCGGTCGGCGCCCCCCGTAAAACCCCTCTCCTAACTCACCAGGTTGCCATTTTTGTTTGTCAGGTCGGGTAGAGTGGTGGTTTAAAAAATGGGCATCCTGTTATCGCCCTACCATGGTGAGTCGTCTCCATCCGCCGCTCACTCGCCAATGTGGAAAGAACAAAAGAAAAGAATGTTTTGTGCATGTTTCCATCTTCTGGCTGAAAACGCATTCGCCAATTTCCACTAGTAGGTTTCCCCAAACACCCAGCCAAGCATACTTCGGGCAATACTCACAACACTACCGTTTTCCTCCAAACTGAAATCCGCATAGCCATTATAGCCAGGAATGAGGAAAATTTCCATCACCTCAAGATTGATTCAAAGGAAGATGGTATAGGAAACTTCTGCTAAGAATCTGGCCATGTGTGTGGACAAATACATCCAGGAAGTCCACATGCTATCATTCCAATGCAACATCGATGGCATCCGATGATACTGCAGGACTGCAGGAGCACAGTGACATTCCAGTGCAAGCGGGGGAACTGCAGGACCACAGGAGCACAGTGCAATTCCAGTGCACTGGGGGCCGAGGGGGGGGGAACCCACAGTCTGGGTGTGCCCTTACTCACAGAAGACGCTCCGGGTCGTTGGCACCACCTAGGGCACACCCAGGGGACCGTCCAACTGCACTCAATTGTGGTCGTAGATTTTTTTACATGGACATGTGACAACCTCACTAGGTGCAACAACCATTTTAGCGCAGCCGAGCGGAACTCTCACTCACGAGGTGCAACAATTTTAGCACAGCCGGGCGAAGCTCTCGCTCTAAGGACACTGCACCGAATCTTGCAGTATTTTACCATTAGAAACGCCCAGGGGCTCCACTGCTCTCAATTCCCTAGGGAAATCAAGAGTAGACACGGAACATGTCTGTATTTTTCAACAGTTCATGGGTGTACCACGTGTGCTAGGCCCGTTGGTGGAAACTAGCTTCCAGAGTCCTTGCTCCGCCTAGGGCCTCACTCCGCTACAGAACATTCAAAATGTATCTCAACCTGAAAATGATTCCACTACGTTCAAAACTTTCGACCAGTTCCGATGTACCTGGGCGACAATACATCAGCAGATGTCGAGTAGTAGTGGACTGAGGCCCTTACACTCGAATTCCCCACACTTGAGAACGACTCCTCTTTTTTTTTGCCTCTTCTAAATACATCACAACCAACAACCAAATTGACAGCTGGGTGAGTCCAAGCGTGCTGCAGACTCTAACAATCGAGGTTGGCTTGACTCCCGAGAGTGCGCAGGATGAGGACTCGAGGACTCGATTTTCTGAGAGTGCGCACGACGAGGACTCTTACTGACAGCTCGCCATGTAATGTTGAGAGTTTTCAATCCCAGGCCGGTGGAGCAGAACCCCACTCCCAAAAAACACAAAAAAAAAGAGACTGGTGCAGCATGGCCCTACGTCCTATCCTCTCTTGCCACCATGTCCTAAAAGTCAGCAGGTAACTCCCAGAGAGAAGGCGAGTAACGGCCGAGCATCAAACCACCAGTGCACACAAGCCTAGATTGGCAAAGCTGCCTTGCAAGGCTAAAGAGCCTGGAACTGCACCTTTTCAAAGTGGCCCGCCACTTTCTCTACTGGCCCAGGCCCATATCTTTTTTTTTTTTTTTTGGGGGGGGGGGACTTTGCTCCAATCCATACGTGGAGAGCAGCACGTGCTAGAAATTGGGCCCACCGTCACGTCTTTTTCATACGAGGAACAATTTTACCGGCGCCATTGCCCAGGCCCAAATCTACATGCTACCGTACCAGGCCCACCACCATATTTTTTGTCTTTTGTGCATGCGGCAAGTAGTGGAGCGAGGCCCATTGAATGGAGCTGGATGTGTCTTTCCACCTTCGATGACAACAAGGGGTGAGAGAGAGAGAGAGTCAACTCTGTCTTGGTACTGAATGGACGTGCCTGCACATCTTTTGAGGCTCCACATTCCAGGCCGAAATGGCTGGCAGCACCAGCAGTAGAAGAGAAACACGCTGAGCTGGCAGCAGCAGCAACAGAAGAGAAACACACTGAGGTGCCGCAGTTCGTCTTCTTTCAGCCGTGCACCTCAAATTCGCCTCTAAGAAATCGAGGCCTGGGAAAGGAGGGGAAAAAAACCCTGCCTCTTAAAGCGTTCTAAGGCTGCCCTAAACCTTGAACATTCAACTGAATATGAAAGTAAATGCAGCCAGCTACCGTCTTCACCCGAATAGAACGCCCGGTAATTATTGCCGTATCTGGACTGAAAGTTCCACCAAATACAGATATAATGACCGGGCCATCTATTCGGGTGAAGACGGTAGGTCCGGGGTAAGACCCAGTGTGAACATGCCCAGACAACTGTTGCATCGTCAGAAACAGAGACATCTGACCTAACGGCCTCGCTCCACATGCACAAAAGGCAAAATATGGCTTCCATGTTTTAGCCGAAGATTCATTCTCAATTTGCATATTCCGCGACTAGTAGAGCAAGGGCCAATTGTGATTCATGGGCCAACCGTGATACATGCGCCAATCATGAAAGCGACAAAAACTACGGCGACTGGATCTTCTTCTTCTTTTTTCCCTATTTTTTTTCCCCTCTTTCTCATTAAAAAAAAAAGGGTGACAGCCTTGAGATATATCATCATTGAACTGACCGGCCCCTGGTAATTCAGAATTTTCTGGCCATCTGTTTGTATCTAGATTAGACCTTTGATCTGCATTTCAACCGTTTGTGTGTACCAACTGAGAGCCATGCTCCTTGGTCAAGTGCGTGCGTCTTT